ATATATATATATCTATATGTTTATTCATATATAAAAATGTTATTATGTTTATTTATTTCCTGAGGACATAAGTCCTGGTAAAGATAATCTCAGTTGAATGGTGTTATCTTTCAGTCTAGCTTTGCATTACTACATGTGTTGTTGTTTTTGTGTGTTTGTCCATTTGGCTTTGGAAACCTCCCTCTTTGTTATCTTTATTTATATTGATCTAGATCATTGAGATTTGGCTATTTATCAATTGATCTATTGATTGATCTAACGAATGATTTAACTGCCAGTGTATTGATCCAATTCAGTGCATGATTCATGTAGGCTTATATACATATATATTTATTTTGGCAGTCAAAAATAAGTTCATCAGCTAGCTATCATTGGTCTATACTCCTACTGTAGAACTATTTACAAATCATCTATGTTTGTACCTAGCATCTATTCACTTACATGTCTAAATGTATAAAAATACTGATGCCTATGTTTCTTCTGTGCGTTGGTTTGTTTGTGTTTGTTTTTCCCAACACCTAAGGTCCTGGCATGTATACATATGGCCCAAGGACATAGGTCCTGGTAAATAAACATATGGCCCAAGGACATAGTCCTGGTAAATATTCATATGTCCCAAGGACATAGGTCCTGGTAGTATACATGTGGCCCAAGGACATAGGTCCTGGCAAATATACATATGATCCAAGGACATAGGTCCTGGTGAGTATATACTTATATGGCCCAAGGACTTAGTCCTGGTAACTATACATATGGCCCAAGGACATAGATCCTGGTAAGTATATATATGGCCCAAGGACACGAGTCCTGGTGAGTATACATATGATCCAAGCACGTAGGTTCTATACATATGGTCCCAGGACATAGGTCCTGGTAAGTATACATATGGTGCCAGGACATAGGACCTGAAAATATACATCTGGTCCAGTGATATATATGTGTCCTAGTCCTAGTAAAGAAACACATGATTCAACTATACAATACATCCTGGTAGGCACACATATTGTATCATTATGATAGTTGTGGATGGATGTGTACAAATGCATGTGTGTATTCATACCTAACTGTCTTGACTTGATTTGATTTTCATCATGGACTTTGCAAAGTGAAATGGCACAAAACTGTAAAACCTCTACCCCCCTGAAAGAAAGTACATAAACAAAAAAACAGCAAGCTATTTTGCAGAACATATTCATGAATAAAGCGCACCAAAAGAACAATATAAAGAAAGATTGATTTTATAGTTCAATCTTTTCTCTAAAGGCTTCTCATTTGGTTATAAGGCACTTTTGTTTAAGGTCCAGGCTGCTGCCTGTGAGCTTAATGACAGTGGAGGCCTTGTCACATGAACCATTAGGCAGAAGGGGCTTGGCTCAATCAAAGACATAGCCAATGTTTGCTAAAACAGCTCTGTTTCCAGGAAACCAGCTATTGTATCAATAAGGTAAGCTATCAATCAGCTAATCCTTCTTGGGAAAAGTGAAAATAATAGTCAAGCCCAAGCCAAATCCAACCTTTCTAGATTCTAGACTTGTAGATTTCACACACAAGGGGTTTCACAGTAGAAGGCAGTGAAAACCAGTTCCAAAAGAAACAAAACAAAAAACTTTTGGATTCCAAGATGCAACAACTGTAAACTCAAGTGAGCTATACACTGCAATTTTGAGTGCACTTTTGGTGAACAAGTTTTTTACTTTAAGTTTGAACCTCAAAGCTGAACATAACACAGCTAGGCTTCTGCTCTCCAGCAATGAGTCTCCCCTGAAAAAAACTTTTGACTGGCCAGTTTGAAAAAACATTTTTTGGAACCCAGGATTCAAAAACATCAAATGCAAGTCAATGCATGCACGAGAGTGTGTACGTAGTTAAGTTTATCATTTCTTTCTCCCAATTAAAGCTGAGGTCCAAACTCCTGTGAGCAAGGAAAGGGGTCCAGCACAGCAAAGAATGAAGGCTCAAAAAAAAAACAACAAAAAGGATAAACATGGATAAACACATTCTTCATTAAGACTTGTTGCCACCTGGAAATGGTTGATATTAGGAAAACCTTGAGTTAGGAAACAGGTTTCGTATACAAATATGGTTTCCAGACCCCAGTGAAGTTTAAACAATAACCAGGTGAAACACATCTCAACTGTCACTTCCTCATGAACAAACTGCCACTTCCAAAGGCTATGGATTCAGAGCCTTTGCGCAGATCTAGGTTTGGACTTGGAAGTCGCCATAGAAGGAGACTCCAATGCAGCCAAGGGCACAGTCAATCGAGTTGGATTGGGCAAGGCCAGGCACATCCAAACTCGGCGCCTGTGGTTGCAGGAGAGGGTCGCCGAACGCCACTTGAAAGTGCACCATGTTCCAGGAGTCAAGAACAAGGCTGACGTTCTCACAAAGTCAGTCCCTGGGGTGCAGCTTCGAAAGACGATGGAAGATTTGCAACACATCTTCCTCGGCAAAAGAAGCAAGGGACAGCTGGATGTTTTGGAGTGAGGTCCCTGGCCAAGCTCCACTACCATAGCTGAGAATGGCATAGCAGTGCGAGTGTTTCACTTTGTTTTCTTTGGCTTGCGCAGCAGTACAGTGCTTTGCAAGAGGAGGAGTGTTTGCATGTACAGCCCATAAATACTCCGCTAGTAGAGTGCAGACACGTGACTCACGACGCGTTTTGGCTCAAGACGAAAAGGCGTTCCGCAACGCCGACTTCGTGCTTTCACCATATATATATGCATAAAGCATATCCAATCGAGTATTTTCTGGATTCGGGTACATCATGCACGCCGTCCTGCAAGGCAAACACAAACAGACTACTGTAATATGATTTTGCTTACATGTGCCATAATACCGAGTCTTTGTGATTGAGAATCGGTGTTTTTCTAGATTGATGCAATGTTTTGGTTGATAATCCGGCCAAGAGGTGGGGGGATTTGGGCATGACTGGGTCAATCGGGGTCATTGGTTTGGCAGGTGCTGCCTCTGGTCGTCGGCAGCTTTCAGAGGCCATCGAAACATGTCTACTGTGTATTGATTGTGTGAAGACATGGCCGTCCAAAGTCCGGGCCATACTAGATGTTGGCAATCCCGTGTAGCCGCATCCAGAAATCCGTTTAGTCTGTTGAACCAGCTGAACCCTTTGTCGCTCCAGCCTTGATCCCAGGTGCCTTTAGCAACCCACAGCCAGCGCTTTTTGCGCTATTCAAAGGTGACTTGGCGGTTTCGGCCGTTTTTGGTTCAATTGACCGATCAGTTAAGGAGCGTGTCATGGGTTTTTAGATGCAATGTGATGCAATTTTATTGCACATAGCCATGCTTACAGTTGTGGTTCTGCCAACCCAGAAGCTTTGTTTGACCGTTGTTTGGCTCACTGATGCCAGTCGATAACAAGAATTAAACATTTCAAACACCATTGACACTCAAATGACGTAGGCTATGGCCCATAGTGGCACTGGCCAATGGTAAAGATTCCGAGACGGAATTCGGGAGGCGAGATGTTGGGACTTGGCGCTTCTGGCGTTGGCGGCGCGGGTCGCCCGTGCAGCCACGGAGGCTCCGGAGGTGAGCGAAAATATGGGAGTGGCCATGTGAGTGTGGACCGTTGAGGAGGTTCTCCTGCTGCAGGTGTTGGAGCAGGAGGAAGGAGAAGCAGAGGAAGCAGAAATAGAAGAGGACTGCACATCACTCAGGGTGCAAGGTTGAGGTTTTCCGGTTTTCTCAATTTGATTTTTAGGGGTAGGGACACGGAGAGAACCCTTGCGGAGAATGAAGGCTGCAGGGTAATCCATGCTAATCCCACGCTGGCTTGTTGCGACACCCAGTGACGCCTATGGGCGTGCGAACGGCTGCACTTGCAAAGGAGATTGCGGAGGTTTCCATGCCGGCTCTAGAATTTGACCCCGAGAGGGCGGAAGGCTCGGCGCAAAAGATTTTCCCACAATAACTGGTGGACTGGGCTGTGCCGTTCTGTTTTTCCTTCATGACTTGGGAATGATTATATAGTTTGAGAACCTTGATCCTAGCTGCAGGTATTGTTGCAGCGGTCAAAGAAGCCAAGAAGCAACAGCTGGGAGCATTGGATTTGCTTCGTGAGCTGGGAGCTTAGCCATGGCAACCGGTCGGGTTCTACAATCCTGAACCATCATGGAATATTATACTTATTCTGACCAGTGACTGTTCACCTCTGAGCTCGGCATGGGCTTTAGTCTGTTGTCGTTTGGAGCGCTACACGCTCGCCTGAAACACGAGCCTTGTGCGTAATCCATTGCTCCCCCATGCAGCCAGTTGGAGGCGGAATCTCATCACAGACGAGGCAAGCACGGTGCAGGCGAGCACGGTGACGTTGAGGGATCATGATTTGTGTGACGGTAGAAGCTACTAGTAACACGGGCATCGCTACTAGGAACAAGTGCATTACTACTAGTAGCAATTAGCAACGTACTAGTAAGACTAGTAGCTTCAACTGTAGTTTTTTTTTTCTATTTTTCATTTGCTGCACCCTGCTCCTTGATTCAGTCCTAGGCACCGGTGATTTGAGCATTTAAACATTTAGAGAGTCATGCAGTCATGCAAGGACCAAACCATGAAACAGCAATGGGGGCTTGAGGGTTGGAGTGAGACTCTATAGTCATACAGTCATGACTTGCGCAGCCTCACGTGTTCAGACGGTGATTCCAGAGCAACTGATGGGCATCGCCTGTTGTGTCTGATCTGATGCGGCCAACGCCGTCGACCGAAGCCAGCCAGGCTGGGGTGGACTTCAAGTGCAGAAAGGATTTGCTCGATCAATGCAGAACAAGAAGGATCGGCGTCTCCCTCTCCAAACCGCTATGAAGATCTCATCCACCAGCACCAGCTCGTGAACCTCCGCGCCCTGACCCGCACTCTGCTCAAGGACTTGGGGCTCCGAGTGGCACCAAGGAAGTTCGTCCATGGGGCGATGGAGCGGATGATGCGAGAGCGGGCGGCGGGAGAAGAGCCGCTCGTCCGATTAGGGTGGCATATTTGGAGTATGTGGTGGCGCCGGTGGAGAACCCTCAAGAAGAGCTGGCAGGCTCTTTCTTGAGGGAGTCTGGCTGTAGAGGTCCAGGTCTGGCAGACCGAACGCTGCAAGCAATGCCGCTGCCAAACAGCCGTCATGTGGATCGTTCCTCCGGTGCTGAATTCCATTGCTTCTCTGAGCTGTGTCGTTTGTTGGCGTCCTTCACGGGGCGACAAGTGTTTGGAGTGGTGTCACTCTGCACCAGCACCAGTCCCTGCTTGTCGTGTGTTGGTACCTTTCGGCAGTTCCAAGTGTTGTATCCGGACATCAACATTGATGTGTGTGAGCTGGAGGACTTAGAAGTGGCAGGAAAATCAATTGGTGCTGGTGCCAGGGCTCTCCAACAGATCCACATCAATTTGAGAGACCTGATAGCTTGGCAAATGATTGTGGTTCCTCCTTGCAAAGACCCTCCTTTTCTCCGGAGGCCTTTCGAGCTCTGCGGCTAGCAGGGCTTCACGAAGAGGTGCGTTGCCTTGCTTAACCTGCCTTGAGTTCTGTTTGCTTTGCGCCAAGGTCATGACGCTCTTTGCGAAGATGGAGGACACGACCGTGTCGCCCGAAATCTATGCAGTGACGACCTTAGAGTGCATCAGAGATTGCGAACATGTCAGGCTAAGAGAGGCCTGCCTTTCCCGCAGCCAAGGAGCAGATGGCCTCTTTGGATTCGTTGGGACTGACCCAAGACATTTTCGAGCTCATGGACAGCATGAGGACGGATTGTCACAATGTGAGCATTCCTGCATTCCCTGTGAAGAGTGCATTGCCACAGAATGGACAGGAAGAAGAATGTCACGCCGAACGTCTCCTGCTACAACAGGATCATGAGAATCCATGCCCAAAACAGGCCGGAGTATACGGTGTGACAACTCCTGCCACGCATAATATGTAGTGCACGCACATACATACGTACGTACATACATGGGTTTGGTCTTCTGGTGTCCCGGCCTGTGGTGGGTCCGTTGGACCCGTGAGCCCGTGGAGCCCGTGGCAGGCCCGTGTTGGGCCCATACACCCGCAAAGTCCGTGGGTGGATGGGGCCGGTGTGCATGGAAGCGTTTGCGTGAGACTATTTTTTTGTCGTCCGCGCGCTTGGAGACATGTGATAAGAGCAGCAAAGGAGTCGGACAAATGAGAGCAGTGTGTGAAGAGTTTGCTGGCAGATGTTGTCTAGCTTCCGATCGTTTGACGTTCCGGACAGCGTCAGCTTCGATGTTTTGGTGCGTAATGTTTAGGTAGTATGAAGTAAAGACGCGAGAGAACCTTCAAGGGAAAGGTTGCGAAGACCCTTGAACCCCTTGAGCCCGTCGGGCCATGGAACCTGTGAGTAGGAACACGGAAGCGACGCCTCGCCGGAGCTTCTGACATTGTATTTATTGTAGGCCGAGACAAGATGACATAACTCCTGGCACTGTATCTGGTGGAGTGGAGATGATTAATGGCAGAAAAGACCATACAGCTAAAGCGTGCTCCTTGAACCCGCTGCGCCCGTAGAGCCTGTTGGGTGTGTGGTGCCCGTGGGGCCCGCGACACGCCGGTGCCAGGCGCGTATCAGGCCCGTAGGGCCCCTTGGGCCCGTGGAGCCCTGGGACACACATGCATACAATTGTATACATACAAATACATACAATATATATACAAACATATACAGTACAAACACTTACATAAAGGCCCGCCAAATTGTTTTTGCACGGTGCCACGAATGATGGCTTGCACGTGGTCATTCTACCTCAGAGTCGAAACCTATATCCAGTTGCCATTGGTAGCTATTTATTCAGTAAAGACTGCCCATCGAACGATGCTCTGGTGCACCGGTGCGGCGCAAGGGCAACACGATCTGCTTTCCAACTGCTGGATGACATGCAAGAGAATGCAGTGAAGCCAGATGTGCGATCGGGCTCAGTGGGCCCAGGAGAAGCGACACTTCAGTTGAGATGGTGCAAGAGAGAGATAGATAGATAGATAGGTAGATAGATAATGATAGATAGATAGATCGATCGATCGATCGATCGATAATATATATATATATATATTTCCCCCCCCCCAAAAAAAAAAAAAAAAACACCCTTTTATTGTTTTTAGCGGTATTTACAGTGAATTCTGCTTATTTTGACGTTGATTTTTTGAGTACAAGTTTTAGATGATTTTTGCGGTTGGAATTGTTCTAATGGTTTTTTCGTTTTGCATGTAAAAAATATAAGCAAATAAGCTGTAACAATGGATGAAATATGAATTGTATGAATAGACCTCGTTCCCTTTTTCTTCCGGAAAAAAATGTTTATGATATATTTTTTGAACAATGAGGTTTATATATTTGAACAATGTATATATATATACCTACGATACCAACAAGTAGGTTTAGGGGGGTCGAGCAAAAAAAAAAAGCGGTATTTTTTTTCAAAACAAATATATATTTTTTTTTTGTCGCCCCCCCCCCCCCCGGGCCCCCCCCGCCCCCCCCCCCCCCGCGCGATCCGCAGGAGAAATAATACAAAGACTGTATGACAAAAAATATATATAATAATTATGACTGTAAGTCAGTGAAACTCAACTATGGAAATGTTACCGCAGCCAGCCAATCGAACCACATTAAGGAGGAAAGAATGCCGCGTAAGCAATGCAATGGATTCCAAAAGTGGGGGAAAGATCGTTGCATTTGCGCAGAGGCTCCGAAGCTCGCAGAAAGAGAAGAAGATTGAGAAGAAGCACACAGACGTCAGTGCGAAGGTGAGCGAAGCCAGTGTGAAAGATACGTTTTCCGAGAAGCGCGTAGCTTACATGGAAGCTAAGGCGAAGTACATGCAAGCGAAGGTCGAGTATAAGGAAGACAGTAAAAAGAAAAGTGCTTCTCACAACTTCTCCACCAATTGGTGGGGAAGGCGGCCGTGGAAACGTTTTTCCTACAGTCGGCCACAGCAATCCAATGAGTGGACAGCGGCCGACGAATACGCGGCTTGTATAGCTTTTGATGGCGCGAACTGATATGTAATGGCTGCGGTAAAGGTTGTAAAAAAGATAATGCTTATAAGACAGTTAGGGAGTCGGACAAGACAAGAGATGAGCAAGGGGATAGCAAGGGGACAATGAGGAAGCAACTAGGGGACCACGAGGGGACAATCCGGGGACAGCAAGGGGACAATGAGGGGAC